ATGGCCTCTCGGAGAGCGCAGCAAGCTACCGAGAGTATCATGCCTGCACAGCAGAGCCTGGCAAGCTCCTCGTGATGTATTCAGTATGTCAAAAACAGTAACAATAACACGTTTCATTGCCCTGACCCTGAAAGAGTCTCCAATACGGCAGCGTTGGGAAAGATGAGTAAGAAGAGGCTGCTAAAATCTCAGGGCTAGGATGAATGGAGACATTACTGGTGCCCACTCAAGTAAATCAATGAACAACGGGATGACAGTGATAGAGTGAAAAAAAGCACTGGGGTGGGAATGATAGTACAGCATATAGGACGCTTGCCTTGCTCACCACAAACCAGGTTCAATCCTTGGCATCTGTTAGGGTCCCCTGAGGCCCCCGCCTCCCGGAGCGATCCCTGAGTGCAGAGCCAGGAGTTAAGTCCTGAGCACTTCCAAGTGGCCCATCATCATCATCATCATCATCATCATTATCATCATCATCATCATAGCACTGTAGCACTGTCCTCCTGTTGGTTGTTCATCAATTATCTCCATTGGAGACTTTGTTGTTACTGTGTTTGGCATATCGAATATGTCACGGGGAGCTTGCCAGGCCCTGCCATGCAGGCGGGATACTCTCAGTAGCTTGCCGGGCTCTCCGAGAGGGGCGGAGGAATCGAACCTGGGTCAGCCCGGTCGGCTGTGTGCAAGGCAAATGCCCTACCTGCTGTGCTATCACTCCAGCTAATAATAATAATAATAATAATAATAATAATAAATCCAAATAAAAATTTAATGACCTGTTCAGGGAAGGCTCGAAGTGCCATGCTGCTCCTTGCTCCTCCAGAGTAGGATCCACCCCTCAGGGGCAGGGGGCCAGGCGGGAGATGGGGGTTTAGAAGGTTCTAGGGCAGGAACTGGAGGTCTTTCCCCTGTCTCTGTCTAGCACCCAGTGAGCTCCTATCCATGTGCCCTTTGCCATTCTGCTTCCTTCCTGCTGCCTCTGCACAAATTCTGCGACTGCTCTGCGGGGCCATGCAGGGGCCAGTGGCAGACCCCACCAGGGACCCTCCAGATCTTCACTCCTCCCCTTCGCACTCCCCCTTGTCTGGTGGAAGAAGCCCCTGGTGCCACATAGCTGAAATAGAGATCTCCCGTGTCCTCGCACACTTGCTGACTGCCTACATCTCCTGAACCATCTCCTGATGCTCTGCCCCCAGTTCCCTGTGGGATCCCTGCTTTCCTCCCCACTCCAGCTAACAGAACCACCTACATCAGGTGTCTGGGCTCGGATTCATACAGGCGACCTCCCCTTGAGAGGGGTACCGATGCGCCTTCCAGTAGGGAAATGGGTACTTCCAGAATGCCACTGTGTGGTGGCGAGTTTGGAGAAATCATGACTAGAAATAAGACCATCTCCCGCAGTGCAGTTTCAAGAGCTACGTAAGATGCCAGTGCTGGTGATTAATGGGAATGCTTACTGAGACACTGCTACCTACCATTAATCTTTCTGTTTTCTTTTATCCTATTATTTTTGTCGGTTTGGGTGCTCAGCACTTACTCCTGGCTCTGTGCTGGGGACCAGCCCAGGGTGGGAAGATCTGAAGCAGGGGCTGTGAGGATTAAGAAAACAAGAGAAACCAAAGAGAGAAAAGCCTGAGGTCAGGGGCTAACAATGCTGTAGGCTGAGGGCTCTCCCACCTTCCTTGTTTATTCTCTTAGATTAACAGTCATCAGAAGAAGGAGGGCAAACATTTACAGACACTTGCCTATCTATGCGATCTAACCCAGACAGGCTTTTACATATTGAAGGGAACTAAGACTACGATGTAGATGCAGATGTCACTAAATTTTACATTTACTAAGACTTTTACATTTTACATTTACTAAGCAAATTTTACATTTACTAAGACTACGATGTAGGTGCAGATATCATTGAAGTGGCTTTATCTCAAAGCAGTCTTCACTGGGAGAGGTAGCAGAAACAAGAATGTTTCCATCCCAGAAGCTTGGAGTGATGCCAGTTTTCTCGTGGAATTAAGGTCCCATAATTCACTTTCTCCAGCCCCAGGCATATCTATTTCCATAAGCGTGTGCATATTCAACAGCTCTGTGCTCAGGCATCACTTCTGGTGGGTCTTGGGGAACCACATGTGATTCTTGGGAATCCACATGCTGAGGATTGAAAGTGAATCAGCACCCATCCAGGTGCCCTATCTACTGAGAAAAAGTAGATCATAGTAGATCCCAAGAAAAGAGCCAGCCACATAAATACCATGTCACAGTGATTATCACAGAGAAGCAGAGAGCACAAGACACGTGGGAATGAAGGTCAAGCGCAGGACCAAGAGTGCAAGTGTGACCATCTCTAGAAGCGGAAGGAAGAGGAATGTCTTTCAAGACATGGCGTTTTCAACCGTTTACTTCTTGTGGGTAAACTGAACCTTTAAGGATTCACAAGATAACATGAAAAGAAATAGTTCTGAATAAAGTAAATCTGCACTAATGGTGACCAGCAGTTTGATTTGTTTTCTGTTGCTTAAATGTTTTTATTTGGAAAAAACTTGTGTTATGAAAAAAAAATCACAGCCCCTGTGTGGGGCTGGAGAGAGTTTACTTGGAGGAAGGCACTTGCTTTGCAGGCAGCCCTTCCAGTTGAAGCCCCTTCACTGAATATATCTCCCTAAGCACGACCAGGAGTGTTCCCGAGCACAACCCCAGAAGTAAACCCTGTGCCCCACTTGACACCCTCTCCGCAGAGTTATAACATTTGAAACTTTTATCACTGCCTATATGCTTTTGGACAATACAATGTGCAAGCAACTGGGCAGAGGAGAGGCAAATGCTTGTTTGGTAGCAGTTAGTTTTTGTTAAAATGTTTGCATGATAATGTCTGAACTGCCCCACTTGGATGAAGAGTGCTGTTTGCTTTTTGGTTTTCTTTGTTTGGATTTTAGGGTTTTTGGGGGGAGTGGGGGCAGGGAGCTACATCTGGCAGTGCTCATGGGGCTATATGGGGTTCTGGGGATCAAACCTTGGTCAGCTGCTTGCAAGGACCCTAAAAAGTGGTGTTGTAATGAACTAACTGGAAGTAGAGATTTTATTTTATTTTTAATTTTTATTAGTGAAACACCATGAGGTACAGTTGTAGACTTACAAATTTTTGTGCTTGGGTTTCAGTTATACAATGATCAAGTACCCATCCCTCCACCAGTGCGCATTCTCCACCACCACTAATTCCAGTATCCCTCCCGCCCCACCCCCATCCCCCCAATCCCATCCTGCCTCTGTGGCAGGGCATTCCCTTTTGTTCTCTCTCTGGGAGTAGAGATTTTAAAAAGGGCGGGGGGGATGATTTGCTTCCTGTTAGCTTAAAGACAGGGTTGCCAAGGAAATGGAATCCCTCGCTGGATACCCTAGATATGGATGCTTGACTCAGTCACCACCCCAAATTTCCCAGGGTCTTCCCCTGCTGTGGGCTCAGCAGACCTAATAGAATGAATTAAATCACAGAAAGTGACCTCAGGGGCTTTTAGTCTTAGAAGGCAGAGTTGGCTGAGTTAAGCACTGTTGGGCGTAGCACAATAGTTAGGGCTCAGGCACTAAGGCCTTCTCTAGATCCAGTACAGGCTCACTCATCTCTTGGGATGAATTAGCCTTTTTGCGCTTCAGTGCTTCTCACCCATCATGGTACAAAACCCTCTGCATCCTCTAGTCTGGCTGTGAGAATTCAAAGACTGATCAGACAGAGCTCCTCGGCCAGTGCCTCCATTCCCACCAGCCTATTGTTGGCAACAACCAGAGGGGAAAGAAAGCTCTGGGTGACTGTGCTGTGCTTTAAGGCTGTTCTCCGTGGCCACAGGAGATGGTGATATCCTTTAGGTAGTGGGATGAAGATGCCCTTGAAGCATTCGGCATGCTTGTGAGAAATAGAGAAAAATCTAGCTTGAAAGAAAATTTCAAAATACTTGGCCCATCATTAGAATACAGCTGCTGAACTAGCAGGCACTGACATCGGATTCTGCTTTGGGGATCCCTCACCTGCTGTTGGGACCCCACACAAGCACCACAAACCCGGTGTGTAAGTCTGGGTGCCCCACAAGTAAGTGTGCGGTTTGGGACACGCAAAATAAACAACCAAACAGAAAACTGGAGGGGAAGGGGTAGTCTCTGGGGTAAGGAAAAAAAAGTGTGTGTTTGTGTGTGTGTGTGTAAATAAATTGAGTAGAGCCTTGTGCCAGCTAGTGCGTCATAAGAAAAGACCATGATGTTATTTCAAAGTCTGGAATTCCGGCCCCTCCCCTCTCTTTCCCACCTTCACTCCCATCCCAGAAGTGGCAGGGATAATTAAACAGAAGGATCTTCCTTGTTAAATTTCATTCTGTTTTTAAGGAAAACATTAGACCTTAATAGTTCTGAAAATCATGTGCTAAAATTAAATTTCCTAAAGTCATTTAGGATGTATGTGACCTGCTGTAAAGGACCCCGTGACCGTCCTCGGAGTAAATCTGCCCAGCCCACCTTTCCCCTTCTTGTCTGCCTTCAGCACACCAGGATTTGTCTGGAACCTGCACTGGGAGTGCGCCCGAGACCCAGGGTCTGTCATCCCAACCCTCAGCTGGAAGTCGCTGGGGACCAGTCTTGCTCTTCTTGCCCATTGTCTAAGATCTCTTCACATTTTGCTGTTATCATGGTGAATGTGTATATCAAGAACCTACGAATCTTTATGTTTGGGTTTTCTGGGGTGTGTGTGTGTGTGTGTGTGCGCGCACGCACGCGCAAACGCACACACGCGCTCTGTGTTTCCTTTAAAAACTGCTTTTTAAGGGCTGGAGGAATAGTACAGGAGTTAAGGCGCTTGTCAGCCTTGGTGTGATCTCCAAGCACTGCCAGGGGTCACTCCTGAGCACGGAGCCAGGAATAGCCACTGAGCACCAGCAGCTTGAGGCCCCAGACCCCACACCTCCCATAAAATGAAATAAAAGTAACTTTTTTTGCCTTTATAATGTGCTTCCTTCCTTCAGATAATTATGAAGATGAAGACAATGACCAACAGACCTCCCCCAAATGTGAGTAAGAGCCCACTGATGCCCAGGGCTATTCTGAAATCTTTTCTTTTTAAAATTTAATTTTATTTTTGTTTTGAATCACCATGAGATATACAGTTAACAAAGTTGTTCGTGATTGAGTTTCAGGCATGCGATGCTCCAATGCCCAATCCCTTCACCAGTGTACGTTTCCCGCCACCAATACCTCCAGTGGAAATTTCTTTAGTATAAGTATTCACGATCACGATCACGATCATTCTGTTGTTAGTCGATTGCCTCGAGCAGGCACCAGTAACGTCTCCTTCACCTGCTTGAGGCAATCGACGAACAACCTAGCCATGAGATTTTAAAAGAGCCATATTCAGTGCTCTTGGAAAATGAGACCCATCATTGTTACTGGTATTTAGCATATTGAGTACGACACGGGAAGTTTACCAGACTCTGCCGTGAGGGCAGGATACTTTCGGTAGCTTGCTGGGTTCTCCAAAGTAAAAAGGAGATAATAAGATGTCATTTAATAATAACATAAGTATTGTTATTAATAATTGCAGGTGTTATTTATTAAATTTCTTTGACATACCAGACATTTTAGGTGAGTTAAAGGGTCTCTTTTGCTAGAATACACCACATGATCCCCATCTCTGGGGACAGTCAGACATTTCTGGTGCTCAGAGACACTGAGTGACTTACGCAAGGCCCCACAGCTGTGAGAGGCCGGGTCCAAGCACACGCAGCTCTTGCAGCCCATGGGCATAAAGCCCCGTGGATAAAGCCTTCTGCTTTATTGTGTACCCCCTCTGGTGGGCCACACTGGAGGCACTGAGCTTCCCCTCATCCCCAGGGGCTGCTCTCCCTGAAGTACCTGAGACTTTAGTGTCGCAAAGCCCAGTGAGAGCTGGAGATGGGGTTAAGTATGGGGAAAGGCTGGGGAGACTGGAAACACCCCCAGCCGACTGTCCCTGCTGTGAAACCAGGGGCTCTGACTCAGGGGCGCTCTCCTGGGCCAATTGAGATGCCTGAATTCTCCCAGGGTTTCATGAGGGGCACCTGGTGAGCAGGTGATGGTCTCTGCTGCCAAGCATCCAGCTTGCAGGGAGACCCTTGGAGTCTCCAGAGCAGCTGTAGGCTCGGAAGCTTCGACAGTGGAGTGGACACTAGGCAAGGGGATCGCCCTAATAATTGTAGGGGGCACCCCTTCTCCTGTCTCCGAGGGGAGGGCAGAGGAGGGCTGGGGACTGGGGAGGGGCGGGTGGGAGTGGAACTGAATGGAATGGGATGGAACGGAATGAACTGCAACAGAACAGAATGGGAAGGGATGGGATGGAGCGGGGTGGCGTATTCACGTGGAGGGGGAATGGAAATGGGCAGGAAGGAGGGGAGGAGAGCTGTCTGCCAGCCATTGTGAGGCAACACTCTGCCACAAGCTCGTGTCTCCGCATACACCTGGATGTGAATACGCCGTGTTGGGATGTAATTTTGCCTTTACGCTCCCCTCAGAGGGGTGGCCACTCCCTCCAGACTGTCATGGGGCTCATTCCCCCATCATCATGGCTGCCCAGAGGCCCAGGGACCCCTGCATCCCAAACCTGAGCTGGGGTGGGGAGTGTGTGGGATGAGCTCAGTCAGGAGTGGCCTCCTCCCCCCAAGCCCTTCCCTGAAGGTGGACAGTGGCTACCGCCCACAGACATCCTGCAGGCACCCCCGGTTATATGTGTGCCCCTCTATCAGGCCCATGCCCACTGCCCTACGGGGATGCAGCAGAGATGGGCACTCAGTCACCGGCTCAGGTGCCACCTACCTGCACTGCAGCCCCCTCCCCCCCTCCCCCTCACCCCCCCCCCCCCACTCTGGACTAGCATCCCCTCTGCCCGCCACCACTCCTCCCTCCCATGAACCGGGCTTGGCTTCAGTCTTGACCACTGTGGTAGCTGCTGGAAACCCCGTGTGTGGGGGTGGGGGGGCTCCAGCAAGGGGCTGCTCACAGCCCCCCATGTTGTTTAAGCCCACTGGCCGGCTGGGGGGGCTCTGGGGTGGCCGATGGGCAGCTCCCACTTATGCCTTTCCTGTTCCCTCTGATTCCTGGAACCCACTCCACCCCCCAACCTCAGAATCCCCCTCCTCCTGCTCCTCCCTCCCCCAGCCCCCCCCCCTCGGGGTTAGACTTGCCCAGCCTCCTCCTGAATCCTCACATCCCCCTGGATCCTGGATCCATTCTCAGCTGACCTGGTGCCCCTCTGGAGGGAAGGTGGGGGGGGGGGGTCCTGCAGGTGGCCCATTTCCTAAACTCTTGGGGAGTAGAGGCCCCTGCAGACTGCAGACAGAGTCTAGATCAGGAGGGTGGGTGGGGTGATCCCCTCTGCAGTGCTCCCCCACCAAGTGGTGGTTCCCGCTCGGCTCGGTCTGGTAAAGGGGGCTTGGGGGAGGACCCCTGCAGGCACAGAGCGACATTCAGTGTGCGGGGGCAGGGGGTGCAGTAGGTTCGCTGAAGGAGAGAGACAGTGCTGGGCCTCTGATATTCCGGGGGGCGGGGGTCCGGTGGGGTGGGGGGGCGTGTAGTGATGTCCCAGAGTCTCCAAGCCTTGGGGAGGCAGGAAGGGGGGCTGGGCGGGGAAAGGGGCAGGACCACTCTGGGAAGCACAAAGGGACAAAAAGGGGTGGGAGCTGGTGTGGCCTTAGAACTCTCGCCTCACACAGCTGAGCCAGGTTCACTCCCAGAGGCTCCCTGAGGCCTGCCAGGAGCGATCCCTGAGCACAGAGCCCGGAGTAGGACCCGAGCACTGCTGGGTATGTGTGGCCCAAACCCAGAGAAAGAGAGAGGGAAAGGGAGAAACAGAGACAGACGGAGAGACAGAGAAAGAGAAAGAAAGACAGAGAGACAGAGTCAGAGACAAAGACAGTGAGACACAGAGAGAGAAAGAGACACAGAGAGACAGAGAGAAAGAGAGGGGGGGGTGCTTCTTGGAGGCCAAGATTTAAGGGCTGAACTCCACGTGGACACCTGTTCTCTGTCCAGCTAGAGGCTTCCAGGCTGGATCCCAGAGCTTGCAGGTTACAGTGCAATAGCTCTCCTGGAAGTGGGCTGAGATGTGGAGGGGGCGTGGGGGGGGGGGGTCTGTCCCCGACCACCTTCTCCCTCCTTTCCCCAGGCTGCTCCAGCCGGGAGCCGGTGTCCAACAGCCCAGAGGATGGAGAGGCGCCCCGAGACCTGGAGAAGGAGAGCAGCGCGCTGAGTGTAATGTCCCCACAGGACCCCCCTCCCGACCCCTCCCGGTGACCCACCCCGGGAAGCTGAGGTCACCACACATGCCAAGAGATGCGCCCCTCCCAGCAGGCCCCCACACGCCCACCCTTAGCAAAGTGCAGCTTTCTGGGGAGCTGGGGTGGGCCTGGTCAGACCTGTGCACACTGACACCCCCTCTTCACCCCCCCCCCCCCCCCCCCCGCCCCAACTCTGACTTCTTCCCACTAACCCAGAGGATGCGCCTGTGTCCCCTCCAGCTCTCGGGACTTTTCCAGCTGGAGGACACCTACGAAACCTGTCCCCCCAGCAACTCCCAGGAAGGAAGAGACAGCGGCAAGCAAGACCCGTAGGTGCAAAGGACGAAAGAGGAGCGAGCGGGTCTCCCACTTGGCTCTGGGTTTGAGCATCGGCGAGCGCCCTGCGCGGAGCAACCGATGGAGCAGCGCGGGCGGGAGTCCACTGGCTTGGTGCGACGGGGTTCGGGGCACAGGGAAGGATGCCCGGGGACCCCCCGCCACCCTTGAGAGCCGCCCAGGCCCCGGCTGTTTCCTGGGAGCGCTTGTCGCCTGCTTCCCTGCAATGCTTCAGAGCAGGAGTTTCCAGATTCCCGGCTGTCCTCGCGCGCCCCCCCACTTTGTGGAACTAGGGCGGGAGTCTGGGCCCGGGGGACGTGGCACTTGGTGCAGGTGTGACCTGGGTCCAGAATGGTTCCGTTTTCCAGAGCAGCCGCTGGGCCTGCGACCTTTGCGTTTCCATTGAGCCCTTTTAATCGAAAATTACTTTTCCTTCTTATTCATTCTTCATAATATTTGTTATTTTGTTTGAGGTCACTGTTTCAGTTCTAGTTTTAAGTCACCTATTTATAATTACATTATCTTCAAGCTAGGATGTTGTTCTTTCTTTCTTTCTTTCTTTCTTTCTTCTTATTCATTTTCAGTTACTTGCTGGTAGTTCTTTTAGGAGCTGGAGGCTCTGCTTGCTGGTGGAGCTCATACCTAGAATATAAACATTCCTGAATTCCAGACTCCAGCACACATGTTCCAAAGTTATATATTTTCAAGTTAATTAGCCTGACAGTCATGTATGACTGAGTTATTTACTTTCATAGTTGTTCTACTTTTCACTATTGAGTTTATTGAGTTTTGAGTCATTTTTACATCCCTTAAAGCTCATCAGGGTTTTTTTTTAATTCTGAGTTATTTATTTTGACATTCATTAATTTATTTCATTGTTTAACTTTACAATGATTTAAATTGTAATAAATGATTTGGGTGGAAGTCCATTTTGGGTATCATATACCTGAATTATTTTTAGAGTTTCTGATATACAAAAGTTTTGAGTCATTTTCTGGATTATTTCTTTCAAGGATGCCTTTGCCATTTTTATTATTTTCCTATTTTGTATTTTTGCTTATTCTGTTTTCAGATTTATTTATTTTCAGGATTATTTAGTATTATAATGATTTTCAGTAAGGATCCATTCTAGAGGGAGGGGGGTACTATACCAGTTATTTTAGCAGCGAGGATTTAATATAAGAAGAGTTTCTACAGCTACTAGAGATGTTATGAAGAAAGACCGTGAGGGACATGAAGCATGAGACAGGCCATCGTGCAGGAAGCAGCGTCAGGCAGATGGAACCAAGGGCCCGGCTGTACTCTTCGCATCTTGGCGCCTGGAGGTGGCTGGTACAGGGTGTGGGGAGGTCAGACCGCAGCGACTGGAACCAAGGGTCAGTCCTAGGATGAGGAGCCGTTGCCAGGGGATGGTGACCGGAAGTCTCCCTCTCCTTCCCCCAGCGTCTGAGCCCCACTTCTTCATGGCAGAACCTGCTGGAGTAACAATGTATCATATTTCCCCTACCCTTGGGCAGAAAGTAGCAGGGTAGGCTGAGTTGAGCCCTCCTGAGGGCCAGGGTTTGTCTGGGGTTCGGACTGGGACTTGCAGGGGTCACTAGCCTTGGGCTCAGGGTGAGCTCAGTCCTCGGGGGCAGCAGAGGAAGGACATAAATGTCTCAGTGTCCGTCCAGCTCTTTACCTGTCTGGCCGGGAAGGGGTCGATGACGTCACGTGGCTTTGTGAATGTTTCCGACCGGGGAGCTGTGTCTGCGGGGTCCTCATCCCAGGGCCCTCCCCCACCCTTTTGCCAACAACAGAGTATCTTTCGTGCTAGTGTGTGTGTGTGTGTGTGTGTGTATGTGTCAGATGTGTGGACGATAGTGATGACTTGCAGAACAAATAAAGCTCTTTCTATATCCAAGGGGAGTCTGGGGTCTTCAGTGACTTACATTGTGTCCAGCCCACAAGGCGTTTTGACCCTCAGAACATTTACTTGGGTGTCGTACCCATGGATACTGGGAGGGACCAGGAGGGAACACGAGGAAGCCTGAAAGCCCAGGGTGGGTAGAGGAGGAACGGAAGGAGAGTCAGACCATCCTCACTGGGTGTGACAACACAGAACCCAGCCTGACTCTTCAAAAAAAATTTTTTTAAATCACTGTAATATAGTGATTAAAGCTGTCCAGGGGGCCGGAGAGATAATACAGCAGGGAGGGTGTTTGCCTTGCCCACAGCCAACCCGGGTTTGATCCCGAGTATCCCATATGATCCCCTGAACTTGGCCAGGAATTATTCCTGAGTGCAGAGCCAGGAGTAGCCCCTCAGCATCTCCAGGTGTGACCCCAAAATTAAAATAAATAAAGTTTAAAAAATGCTATCCATGATTAGGTTTCAGTCATGCAGTGTTCCAACACCTGTCCCTCCACCAGGGTACAGTTCCCAGCACTAGTGGCCCCAGTTTCCCTCCCATCATCCCCCTTTACCTACTTTTACCACTCTCCACATGTCCGGACAAGCCTCATGCATAAAGGAACCGGCAGAGGAATCCAGGCATGCGGGTCCCGGGGCTGAGATCTCCAAGCCTGCTCGGATTGGGACTGGGCCTTCTCCACCCAGACCCCCCGTCTTCCAGTAGGTAGGCGTCACATCCACCAGCTGCCGCCGGCGCCAGGTGGTCCCATCAACGGCCAAGATCCAGAGACTATAAAACCCAGCTCCTGGAAGTGTGTGGCCGCATTTGCAGCTGCGCAACATCTTATTATCTCATTTTTACTTTGTAGAACCTGGCAGGCTACCGAAAGTATCCTGCCCGCACGGCAGAGTCTGGCAGACTTCCCGTGTTGTACTCAATATAACAAATACCAGTAACAATGATGGGTCTCATTCTCCTAGCCCTGAAAGAGCATTGAATATGGCTCTTTTAAAATCTCAGGGCTAGGAAGATGTTACTGGTGCCTGCTCAAGGCAATCGACGATCAACAGGATGATTATGATCATTTCCAGGTATTATTGTCATACTGGTCCCTTCTCTGTCTTAACTACCCTCTGCCCCCCACACACTTGTGGTTGATTTCAACCCTTTTACCCTGGCCATGGATATTAGTCTGCATATATATATATATGTATATATATATGTATATATATGTATATGTGTGTGTGTGTATTACAAATGAATGCAGTCATTCTACATCCGTTCTTCTCCTTCTGTCTCATTTCACCCATCATGATCCTCTGGATGTCCATCCATTTATAGGCAAATTTCAGACTTCATTTTTCCTAATAGCTGCATAGTATTCCACTGTGTAGATGTGCATAGCATCTTTATCCTCAGCTGCTCTCGACCCAGCCTGACTCTTCCTGCTGAGTCAGACCAGACCTATCTGGAGCACAGGAAGAGGAAGAAGAGGAGGAAAAAAGAAGGAGGAGAAGGAGATGGAGGGAGGGAAAAGAAAGAAGAGAAGGAAAAGGAGGAGGAGGGAGGGGGAGGAAAGAGAAGGAGAAGGAGAAGGGGGGAAGTGGCTGACATGTTGTAACGGGCTTAATCGAATTGCACTGAAATCATCTCTAGGAGCGAAAGCACGGAGATTTAACAAGTGTCTAAATGAACTGCAACTGGGCAGATGGTGCTCGAGCAGAGGCTCGGAGCTCTTCAAACAGAAAGTTCCCTGGCCTCACAGCACACCTGCGGGACAGAGTGGGGAAGAGCAAAAGAATGGAGTTTCTTGATCGGCTGCTTCGTGACAATACTTCGAGGTCCATGGAGGCAGGAGGGACACCACACGGGACTTAGAGGGGGACCCTTCTTGCTGGGAATCTTTGGGGTGATACATTCTCTTACTAATGGTTTCCATGGTCCTGTCCCCCCTTTCTTGGCAGCCTGTGGAGCCTGGCTCTTCTGTCATACACAGTTACGGTTTGTGACCTCTGTATTCATTTTGCCCGGTTTCCCAGGGCAGGGGGCTCAGAGGACCAGCTTTTGGCTCCCTCGCTGGTCACCTGTGCTTATTTCCTTAGCAGTACTTCAGATTGAGCAGAGCAACTTAAAAGCTGCATTCTGGGGCTAAAGCAATAGCACAGCGGGTAGGGTGTTTGCCTTGCACGCAGTCGACCCAGGTTTGATTCCCAGCATCCCATATGGTCCCTCAAGCACCACCAGGAGTAATTCCTGAGTGCATGAGCCAGCAGTAACCCCTGTGCATTGCTGGGTGTGACCCAAAAAGAGAAAAAAAAACTGCATTCTAACCCTTACATGCCATGCATTCAACCGTTGCATTTGAAAGGATCTGAAAGGATCTGCTCAAAGCAGGAGGCCCGTGTGGCCAGGCCATAGCTGGAGGATAGGGCGGCTCTCCTGCTGGGCACACAAGGCCTCCCTCGGCCTCCACCCAGCCTCTTAGGGACCAGGAAACCCCTTCAGCACCCAGCCCCGAGCCAGGCTCCCCCAGGCCTCACCAGCCCAACCGCAGTTTTCCAGGGCTGATTCTGGGGTTCCGAGGCTCACAGCCATGCTTCCTCCCACAGTTCCAGGGGCAGCCCCTCCCTCCAAGGTTTGTGTCCTGCTTCTCGGACACGAAAATGGAAGGGTCCAAGTCACTGGGAAGCGCAGGGGGCACGTGTCAGAGGACGGGAGAGCAGAGCCAGGCTCTAGGGGAGTTCTGCTCTCAGTCCTGACCACGCCCAGCAGCCCTGGCACAGGGGTGGCCTTTCTCAGGGGCACCTACCTAAGATCCCCTCTGGGCTGGAGAGGGCCATGGGTTGGGGTCTCTGAGAGGACAGAGGCCTGGACCGAAGCAGTAGCACTGGACATGGCCACCAGACCTAGAGAAAGGAGGAGCCCCCTGCCTGGTCCTTTCTGTGACCCTCAGGCTTGGTCGTGCGAGTACCCAGTCCCATCAGTGACCTTCAACCCTGACCGGGTGAGTGTCCGGTCCCTTCTGTGACCCTTAGCCCTGACCAGATGAGTGTCTGTTCCCGTCTATGACCCCTAGCTCTAACTGGGTGAGCGTCCCTCAGCCCTAACTGGCCTGGACCTAAGC